CATTGTAGTTGTAGTTTGGTGGGAACAAGAAACTGCAACATTTGTTCCCACCATCCCCGGTCGTTATTGCACAGTTGGTTACGAACTTGAAAGTGCAAGGTTTGAGCTTGAGTTGGGTCCATATGGTGTTTTCTTGTCAGTGTGTCGAGTAGGGCGTTATATTTAAACAACAACGACAACAGCAAGAACCGCCATGCTAAGGTCTGTTTTAATAAGACACTCAACAACAGCAAGACGATGAGCTGATGCCTCTTTCGGAAATCCCTGCTCGCACCCATTCTCCTTCTCTTCTGCATAGACGACCTGACAAAGCTTTTTCCAGACAATCTGACCATCTCCGTGCTCGCCAACGACGTATCTATTCTTACCTCGTCACCAAACCTTCAGGGTTCAAGGCGCCTCGCGCCGGGTGTGGTGGACATAGTCGTAGGCTGGGGCAATCCGTGAACGCTCAACTTCAACAGCTCAAATAATGAGGTTATACGGGGTGCCCACTACTGCAGGAACGGGCCAATCGCCCGACTCGATCGCCTGAAACTGAAAACAAACACGTTTGTTTTTTAGGCGATCGAGTCGGGCGATCAGCCCGATCGGCCGATCCCATCCGTAGTGGGCACCCCATAGTACGTCCTTTTCGAGATCATCATTCGATGCACGGTGGACGCCAAGTAGTCACCAACAAATGCAGGAACGTACTACTTGACATGTTTCATGGAGTCATCCTTCACAAAGAACTCACATTCAGTAAACAGGTCAAGATTGTGACCGCCAAGGCACAGGAAAAAATTGAGGGAGCTCAAGGCAGTCACTCGCTCGGACTGGGGCTGGAGAAAAAAAAGACCCCAGGAAGACCTATCTCGCCCTCATACACAGTGTGCTCAACTTTGGTGGTAGCAGCTGGCAAACCTGGCTCTCAGACACACAGTTCAGTCATCTGGAGGTTGCCCAAAATACACGAGTGAGATTGATGAACGGTCTATGTTAGCCTTAATAAGGGTGATGCAAGAGACCATAACATAACGAGAGAACAACGGAGAAATATACGAGGCATGCTCCCCACAGAGAGACATGAAAAGAGGATGCCACAGTAACCAGACACTTCTCGCCGACGTTAGGTCATCAGCCCTGCTGCGGACCTATCAAAATAGGATCGACCAAACAACAGATCCACGGTGCCAGGCCCTACGAGGAAGAAGACAAGGACCTGGCACAATGGAGCCTGAGGTGCCCGGCCACAGAAAAAAAAGACGGCAGTTATTCAGTGAAGACAACTGGAGACTGGACTAACTCACACATTACCTGAAGTAGGTGATCGTCATGGTGAGAAGCACTCTCTTTGGGGTCACATAATATATAGGCGCAACAAACGAATTACTGACTCCGTTGCCACCAAAACCCGTCGACCCCACACATATAAACAAACAGGCAAAAAAAACCCACAAACAAACCAACTACAACAATAACAACAATATTTAATTATTTAGGGGGGGGGGCTGGACTGCTTCATGCGCTACTGATACGTAAACAAACAAACAACAAACAGAAACATGGACAAACAAACAAACAAACGAACAACAATTATTCGGAGAGGACCAAAAAAAAAAGGGGGGGGGGGGACTGCTCCATGCGTTATAAAAAGGAGCCAGCGCCAATTATTAGTCGTTGAATTGAGCTAATTTTGGCCTGACCTGAGCAAAGCTAATATTTTCTATTTTTGCAAGTATTGATGAACTAGGCGGTGTTCGTCCTTTCTTCATTTATTGCACTCAGCTGAAATGAATTTTGCGCTGTCATTCATAAAGCACACCCCCACCTATTATTACAAATTTCGCCAAACAACTGTGACACACCAGCTAGTCTGTGGCATATTGTGGCAAATTTGAAGATAACCTCAGAACTTTTATCTTCTAGTTTATGTGAGTTACATGATAATGAAATAGTGTAGATAAATGAACGTTGTATAGTTTTTCACTAAATTCTCTGGTAAGTTTTTCTCCATTTTATAACCTCTTCTTATCAAGTGGTAGTGATAATCTACCTTTTTTGATATCGTGCCACGCTCTGCCACTGGATCAACAAAATGAAACAACGAGCGACTGACTCCAAGTACGGTGATAATTACAAGTAGCGGTAGATAGGCCTACGCGTCACAGGGATTATAACATCAGTGATCTGACTCACTCTGTTGAAGTGAACGTGCTGTACAACCGAGTGTTGCCCACATCTATCTCGCGGCGGCATCAGACTCCGGCTCCAGGTGAGTGAACCGCTTTGCTTGTTTGTTTGCTGTTTGTTTCTTTGGTTTCTCTGTGAGGGTTTGATTTTTCTTCTCTTTTTTGTCTTCAGAACGAAAGAGGGGGGGGGGGGTGTTGTTTACAGTTTTATTTCATTGTTTTAATTTACAAAACCATTAAATGTTCAAAAGGACAGCGTACTAAAGTAGCGTTTTTATTCATTCTGATTTAAAAATTGCTTTTATTTTATTTGTACATGTAGGACTTTGTTTTGGTAAACAGGCTGTGCAACAATGAATGTTCCATGTCGACAGAGGATCTTTTTGTCTCAAGCAATGCCTCTGAATTCATGAAGTGCAAGGACGATTATCGTACAATGTGAGCGTCACATAATAATACAAGTACATTTCCCGGCTATTGATCTGCTTTCCGAAAGAAAGAAAAAAAAAGGAAAAAACCAAACAAATGAACTGCTTTCGAAAACAGTGATATGGAAAAGGCTTAGGTTAAAGTAAAATAACCTCATGAATGGCTGAGAAATGGGAAGTAATGGAGTTATTTTGAAAAAAGTCTGAAAGTTTTGTTGGTCTAAAAATATGCTTTATGCTCCCAAACTTTGGGAGTTGAAAAAGTGCCAAAACTGTCAAACTCTATTAATTTTTTCTTCTTTATCCACAACAACAGCAATAAAGCATCTTACAGGAAATGTTTCAAACAAGCAGTAATGTCAATAACATCTAACGATTTAAAAAACAGTCTAAGAGGACTGCAACAGCAACATTGACAAGGAAAATTAACAAGCCAAAGCCGACAGAAACAAAGCAAAACAGGCTCTACAACAAGATTTTTATTTTCTCATTCCAGGCACCAAGATGGATACTTTATTGAGAATTCTGGTGTTTTGCCTGATGGCATTTGTGTACTCTTCCGCTGACGTGTGCTCTCCGGCCTCAGCAGCTAGTAAGTTTTGTTCAAGGTCCCACCAACAGAGAACAGAATTCTGAGTTTTGATTATATTTTTGCTTTAGCAAAGGATTTCAGAAGTACGAAATGTTATAAAAGCGTAATTTTTTTTCATAATAGATTTGCATTCGAAACTCTACAGTTTACATCAATTTTAATGGTAATAATATCTCATTACGAGCTGTATTCGTGGTCTCATTTCATTTGGCGTCGGCAGCCTAGTTGTTAGGCTTGCAACGAAAGGTTGTGAGTTCGATCACCGTCAAGAACCAGATGTTGTGTCCTTGGGAAAGGTACTTATTAACATGAATGTTCCCCCTCCTCACCCAGGTGAGCATGGGTACTGGGCTTTAGACAGCGAAAGATTTTGTCAGTTCATTAGTGTTTCAGTGCGTATTCGGCTGCTTACACTGTATGCTTCCCCGGAAGACAAGAATGTTTCTGAATATTCTAAGGATTGTTGAGATAATAGTATAGATTGTAAAACACATTAGCTGGCTGTTGAGCGTGGATATGCGTGATACAAATACTATTTATTATTATTATTATTATTATTAT